GGGGGGATGGCCACACCGCAATCCCTTCTCCTCCATTCTCCTCTCGGGATCTTGGGCACGCACGCACACACACCCGGCGTGAGTTTAAGCCACCAGGTCCGGGACTCGAACCGCGGTCGACTACGTGGGAGTCCAGCGACATAGCCATTACACTAACTGCTTGTCCCGCAATACTTTTTCCATCCTGTCAGGATCCTGGGTATGTACACATGTACCTGGTGTGGAAGCCACTAAGACTAGGACTTGAGCCCCTGTCAGACATGTGGGATCTGGCTTCCTCGGCACATCACCGAAGAGCATAATGCTACGGGGCTGGTCTGTCAGATGTGTTTTCTGTCTCAGATAGAATGGGGCTTGAATTGGATGTGAGGTTGTACTGGATCTCTTCAGATGATGTGCTAGGCCTTGGGCAAAATGCTGTCAGTTAGGGCCAGCAGATAGCATGGAGGTTAAGGTGCTGGATTCCATATGGCTGTCTTCCTGGTTTGAGACTTGGATCCAGTGGCTTGAAAAGCACTCTGGGTGCGTGTGTGTGCCCAAAATTCCAAAGAGGGAATGGAAGAGAAAGGACTGCAGCATGACCACCTCCCCAGGGGTGATTTCTCACCTTCCCTCTCTCTCTTTCTGTCTCTCTATGGCAAGTACATGCATCTTACAGCAAAACTAAAACAACCAAACAAGAAGCTGTCATTTAATCCCCACAAAAGCCCTACTGAACAGATACCCTCCTCAGTTCCTAGAGAACAGAATGGAGGCTCAGAAAAAAGTCACATACCTAAAGGTTGACTGTGAAGCCTATTTTTCTCCTCTTTATGATAGAGCATGCATGAACACATGTGAGACAGAGAGGCACCCCGGATGTGATATCATCACTCCGCAACCCCTTTCCCTCGTCTCCCAGCTTCTAAGGACCCTGGGTGCCATTGTGTATGCCCAGCGTGTTTTAAGACCAACCCAAGTATCCAAATCCATGATCACCATATGGCTTCTAGCTTGCAGGGCAGTTGTATTACTACCATGCCAAAGTATCTGCGTTTTTTTTTTTCCTCATAAAAAATACTGAAATATAAATAATGCTAACTTTTAGTGAGCATGCTCTGTGTCCTAGCTTGCACCTAAGACTTTACAAGTATCCTGACTTAAATCTCAAGCAATGATTGGGTGAGCTGGCAGCATGGTAATTAAAACCACATGGCTGGCTGTGTGGTTTGAGTGCCCAACCTGGAGGCTTGAAGGCTTGAGAAATACACCAAGCACATGTGCATGTGTGCCCAAAATCCTGAGAGGAGACAGGAGGAGAAGAGACTACAGTGTGGCTATTCCTACTGGGAGGTGCTTTTTGACTTTCTGTCTCCAGTAAGAAAAAGAAGTTTTGCTCAGAGCAACAAGAGGGTGTACTTGTTTCATCCAGCTTTACTTGTGAAGACACTGAGGTTCTGCTTTTAAGGAGACCTCAGGGTGGCCAAGGCAGGACCCATGCTCTTGTGAACCTTGTGTGATGTGACCTTTGGGACTTGCACACACTATTCAGATCCTCAGGTCTCCCCCAGAAGGCTGAAGTTTGTTTGGTGATGGGGCCTGAGGCACAAGGAGTAGGACCAGGAAGACCCAGAGGGTTAGGGAAGGGGTTGGTGGGTGCCGGGCTTCAGCTTACCTCCTCCTGCAGCGTCTCCATCTCGGTCACCAGGTGCTGCTGCTCCTTTTCCTGACCAACCCCAGAGAGAGGACAAAGGTTTCCTTTCCAGCTCCCTTGCCCCCATATTGTTCTTATCCCACCCTTATGGACACGACCAGGGCCTGGATCACTGAAGAACAGGGCTGGGGAAATGAGTCCCTTTGTATGAAAGGGAAAGGTAGATAGGTCTGAGAGGAAGTTTGGGGTGAGTAGGGACTTGGAATGAGGGAGGAAGCCAGGTGACCCTTGCTCCTTTCCTCCTCAGAATCAAGTTCTGTTGCTCTTACTCCGGGAAAGAGGGAAGGGGAAGAATATCTTTGTTCCCTGGGCCAGAACCCACCATCTGCCGGGCCTGGGCCAGAAGGCTGCGATTCTGTTCCTCTAGGCTCTTGGCTAGAGTCTTCAGGTCCTCCAGCTCTTCATCCACAGCCTTGGCAGACTGCAGAGCCTGCTGGGTGCTGAGTCAGGTGGGTGGGAGGGGGTGAAGAAGGGCCATGAGACAAAGGAAGGCAGAGGTGCGCACAGATAGATCCACTCAGAGAGAAGCAGCAACAGAGAAATCCCAGGTGTGGGGGCAGAGACCCTGAGAGGTAGGACAGAGACCTGGAGAAAAGTGGGAAGGGACCTAGTGTGGGATACAGAGACCCATTTTCTTTCTTCTCCTTCTTTTTTTTTTTTTTTTTCTTTTTAAAATCATGTGCAAATGTTTAGAGAGACAGAAATGGACTCAATGCTGCAATCTTCCAGCCTCCATTGATTTTTGCCAAAGGGCAGGTGCCACCACACCCCAGAGACCCATTTTCATCCTTAGACTTAGTGGGGACAGAGACTTAGAGAAAGTTGGAGACCTAGGGGCCAGACAGTGGTGCAAGGGTAAAAATGGGAAGGATTCAGGTTCGTGTCCAGAGCCCTCTCTGAGTACACAGGGAACATGTGTGCCCAGGATCTGGGCTGACTGAGGCTGGGCTGAATCATGGCATCAAGACCCTGTTGGGGGTGCTGTCCCTCTTTCTCACTCATGAAAGAAATAAATATATGAACTTTAAAAAAGGGGAGAGTGGGAGACTAAAATAGGGAGACCATCACAGACATGAAGACTTAACAGGACACAGGAAAAGGAAAAGGCCAATGATTCAGAGAAACAGAGAGGAAAGGAGACAAGAAAAAAGTCGGAATTCTAGAGATGAAAATAAACAGACTAAAACAGAGGCTGAGAGACAAGAACCAAGAACACATATGAGAAAGATAAAATATATATAATATATATGTGTGTATGTGTGTGTGTTTGAGAGAGAATTTTGCTATAGGCCGCATTCACTTGCCAGAAGGACAGAGAGAGAGAAAGCGAGAAATCACCCCCGAGGGGATGGCCATGCCGCAATCCCTCCTCCTCCATTCTCCTCTCGGGATCTTGGGCACGCACGCCCATGGGCCCGGCGTGAGTTTAAGCCACCGGGTCCCAGATGCGAACCGCGGTTGACTACATGGGAGTCCAGTGACATAGCCATTACACCAACTGCTGGTCCCAAAAGATATATTTTTTAAAAGTTTATTTTGGGGACAGGTGGTGTTTTACTTTTAAAAAATGTTTTAAAGGGGCTCCCAGGAGGCGTGGTCATGAACTGCAGCTTGAGTCCCAGACCTGGTGGCGTGCTTTCTCACGTTCCCTCTCTCTCTAGTCAAATAATAATAATAATAGTAAGTAAAATTAAATAATTATTTTTAAAAATTTATTTATTTCTTCTATGAGAGAGAAAGACAGAGTCAAGTAACCCCATGCCATGACCTTCCCCAGTTCCAGCCAGCCCAGAGCAAAGGCACATATACTTAGGGAGGTCTCAGGATGCAAGCCCAGGACCTTTCCATACATGGGTCCAGTTGTGTTACTGCTGCACAGCTGCCTGGCCTCAAGAAAGATAAAAGGAAGAGGAAAAGAAGAAAGGACAGGCACAGACATGGAACAGGGCATGTATTGAGTAGGGGGCTGGGGGCTGGGAGGGAGGGTTGGGCCAGCCCACCTGCGAAGCTGCTTGCGCAGAGCCAAGATCTCCTCCCCAAGGCGAGCTGACCCCTCCTCAGCGGTTTCCACACTCCGCTGGAGTTTGGCGTTCTCCCCAGCCAGACGGCGGTTGCTGAGCTCCAGGTCCTCCAGGCTGCTCAGCAGGTCGATGGTGGCAGGACTGGGGTAGGAAAGAGGCTGGGGTCACTGCTTGCGTGACCACAGCCTTGGCCACCTTTCTGCAGGTCTGGGTAGGTGCTGGTGGTGGGGAACTATGGCTCTTCTGGAGAAAAAACGGTGGGAGAGACTCTTCCACTCTCCTGAGCTCTTGCCCCTCACCCACTTCCCCACAGGTCCTCCTTGGCAGGCTAGAGGGCACAGGGGTGCAGGATGAGGGGCAGGGAGGGGGTCTGAGGGTAGGTACAGCTCGGGTCTAGGGTCTTCGCCTCCGAAGCTCTCCAGGTTGGCTGGCTCCTCCACTTCTGGGCATCCTGGAGGGAGACAGATAAGAGGGTGCTCCCTGGTGAGCTTAAACATTGAGGTACCCCAGGGCTCTGGGCTTGGTTCTCCTCTGACCTCCACTCTCACCTTTGCTCGGTGATCTCATGGTCTCTAGGGCTACAGCCACACTCACTGTAAGGCCTTTGGCTCATCCTGACCTTGAGCTTAGGCTGGATCTCCCGGATCACCCCAATCTCCACTTTCTTTATGTCCGACGCTGGGCAGCACTTCAACTTCCCAAACCAGTTCCTCCCAGTTCACCTGCGATCCAGGTAGCCACTGGGCCGGCCTGGCTCCCTGGCTCCTCGCCACCCGCGTTGTCTATCAGAGCTCACGCCTGTCCTCCTGCCCTCATTCTGCTCCACCTCTACTTTCTGTCCCCCCAGTCCCTGCCCTGGCTGAGGCCTCTCCCTCTCCCCTTGGATCCTCTCACTGCACTGAGAGACCCTCCCCCAGGCCTCTTGGCCTCTAGTCTCTCCTTCCTGTTCCCTTACTTGGTCCCAGAGCTGGCCTACCCCTCCTCGGCTCACAGCCCTCTCCTGCCCACAGACTGACCAGGAGGCTCAAGGAGATGTCAAAAAAGCTATATATTTTTTGTTTCATGTTTGTTTTAGGGAGATTTTTGCTATATAGAGCCTCCACTCCCTGGAGAGACTGACAGACAGAAAGTGAGAAATCACCCCCTCAGGGCGGAAGGCTATCCTGCAATAATCCTTTCTCCTCCATTCTCCTCTTGGAATTTTGGGCATGCATGCACCAGCACCTGGTGTGGGTTTTAAGCTGAAAGGCCTGGGACTTGAACCATGGTGACTATATGGGAGTGCAGCAATGTAACCATTGTCATCCCAGTTTTTTGTTTATTTTTGTAAGGTTGGAGAAATACACTAAGATCCCTTGTTAAAGGAACACCCCCACACACCCACCCAGTGAATGAGGTCCTGGGTATACAATGGTGAGCAAATCAATCAGCCAAACCCCAGGGCAAACCCCAGGTGGCTAACCAGATAACCAGGTCTCCTCTCAGCCAGGCCTCTGAAGGCAGGCAGACAGGTCTGAGAGTGAGCTGGAGGGTAAGGGATCTTAGCATGGGAGCTCCCGGGGCTTCTCCTTTGCCAAGGGTATAAGGAAAAAGGAAGGTGTGAAGAGTTGAGGCCAGGAAACAGCAGCCAGAGCGAAGGCGCACGGTGGGCAGGCATGCGGCATGTTTGAGAAAGAGCAACAAGGCCAGAAGTCTGCAAATGCCAGAATTAAAAGGGGGTGGTGGCTGAGGAGGCAGAGGAGGACGGGGCTTGCAGGTCTCTTCAACAGGGCTGGCATTAAGAGGAATTGGAAAGAACCCCTTGAAGGAAAAAATCCTGAAATCTCAGGGAGGATAGGCAGTCATAGATGCTTCTAGAAAACCAAACTTGCAACTCCAGGCTACGGCAAAGGTTCCTGGGTCCCACCCTGCCCTTTGCCCCTCACCCCAGCATGGTGGGAAGTCCCCCCCGCTGTCTGACCCTGGGCCGGCCTGCTTCGTTCTATAAATAGCACTCTCACCAGATGGCAGCTGCTGGGCGGGCAGGGCTCCCTCCAAGGCAGTCTCCTCTTCCAGCTCTAATCCCCTGCATCAAAGGGAGGAGGCTCAGAGCCCCCTGCAGTCGCCCACAATCCCAGCAGCCACTGCAGGGGGACTGTGGGTGGGAGGAGGGGAACAGATCAGGTGAGAGCAGCACAGTGGGGAGGAAGGTGAGGCCAGATGGCCAGCGCTGGGGCCAGATGGAAAAGCCAAAGGGGCAAGACTGGGTTTGGTGAAAGGACAGGTAGGGGCCTCGGCTGCCCCCTGCCCCCAGCTTTCCCCTTCATTAGCCTCCTTTTATTTCTGCTTCCCAGAACCTGTCTCCCAGTCCAAGGGATTCTGTCCCCTGCCCAGCTCTCCCTAAACCCGTCTCTTCACTTTTTTCTCCTCCTTAGTCTTGTTCCAACCACGGCAGTTCCCTGGGCCTGCAGAACACTGACTACAGTAAACAGGTATGAAGCTAGATACTAGGAAGGGCGTGGGCCAGCTGGTGGCATGGTGGTTACGGCTGCTGGTTCCCATGTGGTTTATGGCAAAGTTCAAGTCCTGAATCTAGTGGGTTAAAAAATACAACCACAGGTTGGGGTTGACAGGTGGTGTGGTGGTTAAAGGTGCTGGATTCCCACATGGCCAACCACAGTTTGAGTCCCAGACTGGGCTTTCTCCCTTTCTCTCTCGCTGGTCAAATTAAAAAATAACATAAATAAATAAATAAATGATTTTTAAAAGAATTACTTTTATTTAACCTTATTTATCCATTTATTTAATTTTTTATTTTAATTTGACCAGAGAGGGATAAAGTGAGAGAGAGAGAGTGAGAAAGCAAGCTGCCAGGTCTGGGATTTGAACCATGGTCAGGTATGTGGGAGTCCAGTGCCCTTAACCACCACGCCACATGCTGGCCCCCAATAAATAAATAAATCTCTAAAAAATATACACCTAGGGTGAGACCAGCAGTTGGCGTAAAGGCTGTCACTGGACTCCTATGTAGTCAACCGCAATTTGAGTCCTGGACCCGGTGGCTTAAACTCATGCCAGGCATGTGTCCATGTGTGCCCAAAAACCCAAAAGGAGAATGGGAAGCGAGTGGAGGAGAAATGGATTGAGGAATGACCATTCCTCCGGGGGGGGAGGGGGTGACGTCTCACTTTGTCTCTCTTTGTCTTTCTGGTGAGTGCACGTGACCTATAGCAAAAACCCCCCCCCCCAAAAAAAAAAAATACACCAGGGGCATGTGTACACATGCCCCAAATCCTGAAAGTAGGGAAGAATGGAGGAGAGGGAATTGTGGCATGATTATCCCCATAGGGAGGTGACTTGTCTCCTCCTCTCTTTTTCTGTCTCTGGCAAATTAAAAAAAAAAAAGGAAAGAAAAGAAAAGAAAAAGGAGGGGCTTCTCAGGGAGGGTGGAGGTTTGGGGACTCACCCATGTAGCTGACAGGCAGCAATCCAGTCCCGCATGACGACCAGGAAGGTGTCCAAGTCCACGGTGGCCCGAGGGCCCTCCCCACGGGGATCCAGGTTGTGGGCCAACGTTTGGAGCCGCGCATCCTGGGGGCCCTGGCCTGTCACAGCCTCTAGGTAGGCCAGTACTCGGGCCACAGCCACAGTGCCTGGATGGAACGCACAAGGAGTTTGGCAGGGGGTAGGCGGAGCAGGCTTGGTGGCGTGGCGGCCCTGCCTCACAGTCCAGCAGACACCTTGGACAAGTCTCTGCCCTTCCTCTGAGTTAGCTATATTCACCTGGAAATGGGGATCTAGTCATCCCCACCTCACAGAGTGAAGCAAAGAGGTCGGAAATGAAGGACAGTACCCGCTGCGTCCCCCAGGTTCGCGGTGGCTGTTTCCCACCAAAGTCCTGTCCTCTTCCATCAGTGTCCGCCAAGGTTACCGTATCCTGAAAAGCCTCCGTCCCCATCCACTTCCTTCCTGAAGCTTCCCACAACCCCATTTTGTTCTGAAGACTCCCAAGCAGGCCCTAGCCAACTCCTCTCTGTGCCTCCCCAGTGCCCAGCCCCCCATCTCTTTCTGCCCTGACTACTCCCCAGCCCCTCATCCTACCCCTCCCACCTGTCTTCTGAGGGTCACAAGCTTCAAACGTTGAGTTCAGTATTTGCTCCTCTAAGCTGAGCAGCGCCCCCGGGCTGGCTGTCTCGGGCTGCTCCCAGAGGTACACTGAGGAGACAGAAGGGCCCAGTCCACCGGTGAGAAGAGGAGTACCCTGGGTCTCTGGCCTGCTAGACTCTGTGGCAGGAGAGAGGGGTGAGGTGGGATGGGAGGGTTAAGGTATTGGGGGAATTGGGGTGGGGTGGAGAGTGGAGATCTGTGAGAACGCAGAAGGAGGCACTCAGAGCTGCCTGGAGCTGCAGCTGGGCAGGAAGCTGTAGGAAGCTTCAGGAAGGGCAGCAATGTGAGGGTACTTTGAGTCACCTCCCCCAAACGTGGGCCTCATGTTTCATCCCAGGAGGGCTCCTACTGCTGTCTAACCCTTTGTGTCCAAATAAACACTCTGGGATCACCCTTGCCTTCTCTTTTCCAACCTTCCAGGCTAGGCACAGAGAGAGATAGGAGTAGGGGAGGGCCAAAAAGAGGATTCTGGGAGGAGCTGAGGTTGAAGTGGGGCCCAGGAGCCAGGAACAATCCAATAACACACGGGCAGCCTGGATCGATTCCGCCCGCTGCATCTCCGGTCTCCCAGCCCACCCCGGGGACCAGGGCTCTCTCTTCCCTGTATCCCGAGGCGAGGTTGGCGTCACTGGAGCCCACGGCCAGGGTCCAAGATGCAGAAGGATGGGGAGATCCAAGCAGGATGGGCAGTGAGCGAGGGATGGTTAGGAGCTGGACTGGCTTGTCAGACTGGCCCCAGCTCAGAGCCCAACTATACGTCTGGGACAAGTCCCTTCTCCTTTCAGAGCCCTGGTGTCCCCACTGGTAAAAATAGGGGGCAGTTAGGGAGATCCTTTCCACCAGGGCTGAGAGGGTTAGCTCTGTGTTATGTGAGGAACCCACGTGCATGTGCACACGTGTGTATTCTTTGTTCTGTTTGCCCACTGCTATCGCCACAGTGCCTGCACATAATAGGTGCTCAGCAAACGTTCCATGAATAGGAGACCCTCTACTTAAGGAGCCACCGGCTGGCCCAGGCTCTCTCTCAGAGCTGGAAGTGACTTTCGAGGCTCCCGGCCTTCGCACAGCAGGGTGCAACAGCTCAGTGAAGGCCGGCTGGAGGGTCAGGCAGGCTCAGGAGGCAACTTGGACCAGTGGCGGCACCTGGGACTCAACCTCTCTGTGTCTCAGTTTCTTCCTCTGGAGATGGGGTTGGTGTTACCTCCTTCTAGGAAAGAAATGAGATAAAACCTCGAGGGGCCTCAATAGAGGGTCTAGCATGTGATAGGGACTCAATAATAGAATCGAACATTTCTGAGCATTTAATAGTTACCAGGCCTTCTGAGTGCTTTGCATGAACCGTGGGTGGCTGCTATTACTAGTCCCACTTCACAGACGAGGAGACTGAGGTATAGAGAAGTCAGGAACTTGCCCAAGGTCACCTGTTCAACATGTGAGTCCCCTTTCTCATCCCTCCAACTCTTCTAGGGTTCTTTGTTCTAGGTTTTTTTTTTTTTTTTTTTTTTGAGAGATTTTTGCTATAGGGCACATGCGCTTGCCAGAGACAGAGACAGAAAGAAAGAACTCACCCCCGCCCCTGGGGTGGGGGATGACTACAATCCCTTCCCCTCCATTCTCCTCTTGGGACTTTGTACATGTCTCCTCCTCTAGCTTGAATCTGTGCTCTGAGTTTTGGCCTTGGGAAGGGGAGCAGGAACTCATTTAGGTGAGACGTGGGCTTTAGCTGCAATCTGGTTTCCTTCTCTCACTGTCCTCCCCATGTTGTGGACAAGGACCCTGAGGCCCAGCAAGGTCGCTTGTCCAGTGATGCTCATCAGAGAGCACAGAGCCTGGATTTGAACCCAGGATTGTCCAGGGTTCTAAGAGTCAGCATTTGACCGCAGGCCCTTGTAAGAGCCCCTTAGGGAAATGCCTCTTTGTTTCTCCCCTTTTCTCTCCTTCATTTCCTTTCTCAGTGTCTCTGTCCTACTTCCTTTCTGAGCTTTTCTCTGGCTCTTTCCATCTTTATTCGAATCTCCTTCTCCTGTGTCCCATCTATCTGTCTCCAGGTCCCTCACTCCAGTTTTCTTCCCCGCCTCTGTGCTTCCCTGCCGTATTTTGGTGACTCTCTATCCCTGAGTCTTCTCTTTTCTTCCTCTGCTGTTTGTCTCTTTCTCCCCTGCATCCCAGGCCTCCATCTCTCCTGGGTGTGTCCCTCTCTCTCCTTCGGGAGCCTCCGGAGCTGGCTCACCCTTGCCCATAGGTTCCCGGTGGCCACACGCCCTCTGCTGGTGCAGGTGAAGTTTAGATAGTGGTCACTAAGCAGCCTGCCCTCTAGCTCCAGCGCTCTGGTGTCTGCCTCTGACCCTCCTCTCTAAGAAGCCTCCAGAGACCAGGGTCCAAGCCTGGGGCCTAGGGAAAAGACACAGGCTGGAGTGGATGCCTAAGAGTCTCAAAGAAAGAGGCCCAGAGACCTCCATCAGACTGGGTCCTTCTAAGGGGAGGAGTCTCCTTCCCCATCAGACAAGACTCTCCCTTAGCAGAGGACTTTCAGGAAAGATAACCCGGTCCTTCTTTCGGAAGCTGGAGTCCACACCCATTTGATGTGCATCCATCCAACATCAGTAACTGAGTTTCTGGTGCATGTCAGGCATCGCTCTGGGGCAGTGCCAACCATCGGAGCAGTCCCTTGCTACATGCAACTCTTGAGTATTCGAACTGGGGTAAACGCGAACTGACACGCTCTGTCAGTGTGAGGTACACACTGCTCCTGCTCTTAGCTGATAAGTAATTAAAAATACACGTTAGGTCATGAAGACTTAGTATGAAAAAATTGAGTATCTCAGTTTTTTTTTAAGAGAGAGACTTTTGCTATAGGGCGCATGCACTTGCCAGAGAGAGAGAGACAGACAGAGAGAGAGAGAGAGAGAGAGAAATCACCTCCTGGGGGGCGGGGAGGGGGAAGGCCACAATCCCTTCTCTTTCAGTCGGCACTTCATCTACCATAGCTCCCTCCCTCCCACCCTGCACACCTGTTGAGGATCAGCCACCCCTGAAGAGCCTCAGCAGCTCTTAGAGTCACTGCCAGGCACCCATTTGCCTACGCCCTCTTCTGGGGTGAACAGGGGCCCAGTCACCTACTTTCTGAAACAGAGCCACCTGCTTGGCCCTCTGGCAGGTCCATGGGCCGCCTCTGCCACTCCACACCTGCCAGTGCAGCTACCAGCCTCCCTCCATCAAGCGGAGGCACAGGAAAAGGACCCGCTGCTGCTGCTCCTGGAAGGACAAGCAGGAAAATGGCCTCTCAGAGCAGTCACCCACGGGTGGGGGCCTGCTGCTCCATCTGTGCCCCAGGCTACTCTAGGTTTTCAGAACCTGTTTGCCACCCCCACCCCCCGCCTCCCCTGAGCAGCTCCCGCTGGGACCTGTTTTATGGATTGGAGGTGGCAGGACAGGGGGTTAAGGAGTGGCTGGCAGAGGTCCAAATGGGGCTGGAAGGGGAGGTGTTATTGTCATTGTCTCCTCCTTAGGAGACCTGGGAGCCTTTCACCCCAAACCCCCGACAGTTTGTCTAATCCCCTCATCCATCCATTCTCTCCTTCCCTACAGCCCTAGCTCAGCTGGGTTTCATTCTCCCCTGGCCCTCCTCCTTGGCATCCCAGTCTCTAGGTTTCCCCTCCAGTCCATCCCCACAGGGCCTCGAGCTGACCCATGTCTCCTCTGGTCAATGCCATTCCATGGCTCCCCAGCACTTCTGGGGACAGAATCTGGACTAAGCATTGAAGGTCCTGCATGGCTTGGCCCCATCTGTGTCCCCATCTCAAATCATATTGATGCCCCAGCATCTAAACTGTGTTCTGTTCCCCAAACTGGATGGCTGTTCTCACCTCCGGGTCTCTCCCTGGGACATCCTCCTTGCCTTCCTGTCTCTGCTTACAAGTCCCCTCCTCTGGAAAACAGTTCTGATCTCCACCTTGGCTGAGCGAAGTGGTGTGTCTGGGTTTCCCCATGGCCCTGGGCAACTGACGAGTCTCATCATAGTAGCCTGTACTTGGACTGTTGGTCTCTCATGCAAGTTTGACTCTCTCCCTTGCTCCCAGCCCTCCTATGGCTCTCTAGTGTGCCTGAACTAAGTCCAGTCCCTAAGGCTGGAGTGACACAAAGTGGTCCTTGAAGCTCCTGGCCTGTTGTTACTTTTCTCTTCACTGACCAGGCTGACCCCAGGTTACTCATGCTCACCAGGACTGGTGAGAATTTAGCACCTTTTGGGACCAGCAGTTAGCGTAATGGCTATGTCGCTGGACTTCCATGTAGTCGACTGCGGTTCGCGTCCTGGACCCGGTGGTTTAAAACTCACGCCGGGCGCGTGTGCATGTGTGCCCAAGATCCCGAGAGGAGAATGGAGGAGAAGGGATTGCAGCATGGGCATCCCCCCTGGGGGGTGATTTCTCGCTTTGTCTCTCTCTGTCTAGCAAGTGCAAGTGCCCTATATCATAAACCTCTCTTCAAAAAAATAAAAAAAAAGAAAGAAAGAAAGAAAAGAAAAAGGCACCTTTTCCCAAACCTGTTGCTCCCTGGGGTTTTTCTTGGCCCTCCCAGGCCACTTCCCTATTCTCTTCATTGGTGGCCCTGCCCTGACTTACAGCTCTTCTAGAGAGCTTTTCTGAGCCTGGAGACAGTTAGGAACTTCCTCCCCTGTTTTCCAACAGTGCCCTGCCCCATCTCCTTACCTACAAACTCCAGGACACCTGCAAGAGAGAAAGGGATCATGGGGCCCCCAGGGGAGGAACTGGGGCACCCTGGTGCCAATGATCTAGCAGGGTCACCTGGGGCCTGACTGGGTTCTCCCCACCACTTCAGGCCCTTTCCTCACCACATGCTCCCAACACCCTGCACTGGCCAGGGCCAGATGGAACCCACAGCCACCGATGCACACTTTTTGGCAGATTTTAGAATGTCCTTGAAAAAGGGGTCTTTGAAGAGAGACACTTTCAAGGTTGGATAATCCTGTAGGGGCAGAGGAGGGATGGTTGTGGAGTGAGTGGGGACATGACTCTGCAGGCACTGGGCTCTGACTGTTCTGGGACAAACTCCTGAGGGACCCTGAGGGGAGGCCGAGTTGATCGAGGGCTCTGATGGACTGTGGCAAGGAGGTCCTGGGCAGGAATTCTGGGGAGACGAGCCTTTATCTGGACTCCAAGGGAGTCTGACTGGATTTCTGTGTGAGGGAGTAAGTCTGACTTTTAGGGGATTTTGAGGGGGTTTCTGATTGGATTTCAGAGGTCTGAGACCAGATTTCTTCAGTAGGGATCTCTGGATTCCTGGGGGGATCACAGACTGGATTTTAAGTGTGTGTGTGTGTGGGGCCTCTGGCAAAAGTCCAGAAGTCTCTGACTGGATATTGAAAAAAGACTCTTACAGGATTTTTGGTGGGTTTGCCAAGATTTCTGGGCATCACTAATGGGGGGACCTCCCAGGCTTCTAATGAGATCTTGGGAGGGTGAGTAACAGGATTCCAGGGAAAGTAACAGGCTCTGAGGGAGAAGTCAGACGATTTCTAGAAGGTTCTGACACGATTTCAGGTCCTACACGTCTTCCTGGTGCGTTTCTTTCAGTATTCTGACGGGATTTAGTCAGGATTTCTTTTCTTTTCTTTTTTTTTTTTTGTTTGTTTTTCTAATTTGCCAGAGGGTGCTGCACTCACCACAGACAGAGAGGGAGGAGAAAGGACCCCCTCGCCCCCCACCCGGGGATGGTCAGGCCGCAATCCCTTCTGCCCTATTTCTCCACCCTTTTTGGATTTGGGGCCCGCTCAGCATGATTCTCAAGCCGCCAGGCGCGAGACTGGAACCCCGCAGTCGGCCGGGCAGGCTCCCTAGGATTTGGAGAAGACGTTTTACCAGGACTTATGAGGCCTGGACGCTGGGGAGGCTCGCTTATGATTTGGGGCTTTGCTTGGATTTCGGGAGGCGCTCTGACAGGGCCCACAGGGGAAGCTCGTCACAAGCAGAGCGCACCTGGAGTCACGTCCTAGTCTCGGGACACAGCTCGAGGCCACGAACGACGAACTGCAGGTACGTCGGCGGGAGTGAGCAGCACGCTCTCGGTTTCCCACCAGAACAGTAAGGAGGCGGGAGGAAAAGAAAGATCGCGAGATGTCTAAGCCCCGCCCCAGCGGGATTCCTTCCACAGCGCAGGCGCACACGGGGAAGGCACGCGTTGCTCTTGGCGTTACCCGTACCAGCAAGGTCGCGCATGCGTGCAGCCCTGGCGGTGCGCCTCGCCGGGTAAAGCGGGCACGCGCGCACTAACAGCAGGTGACTGCTGCGGGGCGTGCACGTGGCGGCCGTATCCACTACTTTGAAGCCTTCCTTGCGCCCTCAAGCTTTGGACTGAGGGGCTCTTGTCCATTCTCCACTTGGCGGTTAAGCCGTGCCCTTTTAGCCAGGCCGCTGGACACCGTCACAATTATATCCTTCCTTGTCCAGCCTCACCTCAACTCAGTCCACCCCTGCCCACCTTTTTGTGGCGGCAGTCACGCTGTAATTTCTTTCTTTCTTCATTTTTTGGAGAGGTTTTTCCTATAGGGCATGTGCACTCACCAGAAAGAGAGACAGAAAGTGAGAAATCACACTTCCATACACACACACCCTCACCCCCCCCCCCATGGCCACGCCGCAGTCCCTTCTCCTCCATTCTCCTCTCAGGATCTTGGGCACGCACGCACGCGCGCCCGGCCAGAGTTTAAGCCACCGGGACTGGGACTCCAACTGCAGTTGACTACATGGGAGTCTAGCGACATAGCCATTACACCAACTGCTGGTCCCCACGCTGTAATTTAAAAAGTGTTTTTAAAGAGTTTTTTGCCTTAGGGTATGTCTGCTGGCTGGAGAGAGACAGATAGTGACAGGGAAAGTGAGAAATCACTCCCCCAGGGGAATGGGTGCCACAATCCCTTTTCCATTCTCCTCCTGCGATCTTGGGCACGCACACACACCCAGTGATTCTCAAACCCCTGGGTCCTGGACTTGAACCCCAGTTGCTCATGTGGGAGCCCAACGTGGAAACTACTACACCATCTGCTGACCCCAAGCTGTATTAATAGTATAGATCCCTAATGGCGTTTTTTTTTTTTTTTAAGAATTACTTTTATTTAACTTTATTTATTTTAATTTGATGAGAGAGAGAGAGAGAGAGAGGGAGAGAAAGTGAGAAAGCAAGGCTCCAGGTCCGGGACTCAAACTGACTCAAACTGTGGTCGGCCATGTGAGAGTCCAGCGCCCCATCCACCATGCCACTGGCCAACCCCTCCTGATGGCTTCTTCCTCAAACTATTCCATTCATTCCTTTGGGGAGAAAACAGGGAGAACATTTTCAGCTTTTCTAGCTAGAGTGAGGAAGAGGGCTATATCCAGAATTGACTCGGGAGAAGGAGATTTTGGGGAAACCACTTGGAAACCACTTGGCTGCTTGGCTAGCCAAGACACAGGAGAGGAATCTGTTTATTCATCCTTTTATTCATCCCATCCTCGTTTGTCAGCCCTCGCTTCCTCAGAAAAGCGTTCCCTGCCACACTGACTCTGCCAGGCCCGTCTTCCTATCTGCTTGCTCTATTTTAGTGGCCCTCCAGGCGCCTCTCCACCCCGCATAGTCTATATTTGTGTACTGTCTATCACCCCTGCTGGAATGTGAGCTCCAAGCAGTGGAGACTGTTTTGGGGCTACCACACGCCTGGCCGAGTGTGGTGCTCGAAAACAGATTTGTTGAATGTATGCATGGATGGAATCCAAGGCTCTCAACTACCAGGCAGTGTAGATGACAAGGCTGTGGGTCTGGAGTCAGATATTCTTGGGATTGAAGTTTACTTATTTATTTTAGATTTTTGCTATAGGGCACGAGTGCTAGCCAGAGAGAGGTAGAGAAAGAGATAGTGAGAGGGAACATGAGGACCCCCCTCCCCCCGTGGGGGTGGCCACACCACAGTTTCCTCTCCATTCTCCTCTTAGAATTTTGGGCACTCACTCACTCGTGCCCTGCATCTTTTTCTTTTTCTTTTTTTTTTTTTTCATTTTATTTAGAGGTTTTTGCCATAGGGTATGTGTGCTCACCAGAGAGAAAGACAGAGACAGTGAGAGGGAAAGTGAGAAATCACACCCCCACACACCCCCACAAGGAGAGTGGCCATGCCACAGTCCCTTCTCCTCCATTCTCCTCACAGGGTCTTTGGCATGCACACACATGCACCCAGCGTGAGTTTCAAGCTACCAGGTCCAGGACTCAAAACGCGGTCCCATGTGGGAGTCCAGCAATGTAACTATTATGCCATCTGCTGGCCTCCAGCTCTGTGATTTTCAGGCTGTAGGATCTGGGACTCAAAGTGCGGAGTCAGCTCCGTGGGATCCAGCACCCTAACCTTCATGCCATCTCTGCTTGCCTTCTTGTGACTGAATTTGGAATCCTTCACTTTGTAGCTGTGACCTTGGCACAATGACTTTACCCTCTCTGAGCTTCACTCTTTTCTTTATAGCGTTGATCTCTTTTTCTTGCCTTATTTACTGAACTAGGACCTCCAGTAATGATGTTGAACAGATTGCAGATATCTTCATTCTGTCTCATTCCTGATTTCATATATTTCACTATTAAATATGCTGATATTACATACCCACACATATATGCGTATCTATCTATATGTTATATATACATATGTTTGTGTGTGTGTGTGTGTGTCTGATTTATTATTTTACTTTTACCAGAAAGCACTTGCACTTGCCGGAGAGAGACAGAGTAAAAACCAGAAAGCATCCCCCCATGGGGCATAGTCATTCTGAAATCCTTTCTCCACCATTTCTTCGTCCTTTCAGGGTTTTGAACATGCACAGCCACATGTCCAGTAAGTTTCCCAAGTCACTGGGTCTGAGACTTAAACCTGGCAGTTAGCTATGTGGGAGCCAGCTGCTTTAATTGCTAGGTCATGGTCTGGCCCATTTAATTATTAATGTGGGTGGTTGTCAGGTGGCATGGTGGCTAAGGGCTCTGGACTCCCACATGGCTGATGGCGGTTCAAGTCCTACACCTGGTAGCTTGTTTCTCTCTCTCTCTCTCTCTCTGTCCCTCTCTGGTCAAATTAAAATAAGTAAATAAATTTTAAAAGTTAAATAATTCTTTTAAAATATTATTAATGTGGTTAATTACATTAATTTAGCTTTAGAACATTTTCTATTATCTGAGTGTTCCAAGTTTACATTTTTGGGACCAGCAGTTAGCGTAATGGCTATGTTGCTGAACTCCCACAGAGTCGACTGCAGTTTGCATCCCGGACCTGGTGGCTTAAAACTCAAGCCGGGCGTGTGTGCGTGCGTGCCCAAGAGCCCGAGAGGAGAATGGAGAAGGGATTGTGGTGTGGCCATCCCCCATGGGGGGTGATTTCTCGCTTTCTGTCTCTCTGTCTCTCTCTGTCTGGCGAGCGTACACGCCCAATAACAAAAACCTCTAAAAAAACAAAGTTTACATTAAAAAAAAATTATTTGTCTAATTTCATTTATTTACTTATTTATTTTGATTTGACCAGAGGTGGACAGAGTGAGAGAGAGAGAAAGTGAGAAAGCAAGCTGCCAGGTCTAGTACCTGAACCCCGGTTAGCCATGTGGGAGTCCCAGTGCCCTTAACCATCATGCCACCTGCCAGCCCCGAAGTTTACATTTTTTTTAAGAGAGATTTTTGCTATAAGGTGAGTATGCTTTTGCAGGAGAGACAGAGACAAGGAGACAGAAAGTGGGGGCTATCCCCAGGGGGATAGCCACGCGGCAATCTATTCTCCTCCATTCTCCTCTTGGGATTTTGAGCACACACACTCACTCGTGCCCAGCATGCGTTTTAAGCTGCTGGGTCCAGGACTCGAACCACTGTCAATTATGTGGTAGTACAGCAATGTAACCGCTATGCCATCTGCTGGTCCCTGAAGTTTATATTTTAACATTTTAATTTATTATTAGTTTAAAATTTGCTATAGGGCACATGTGCTTTACCAGAGAGAGACAGAGGGAAAGGGAAAGTGAGAGAACAAGCTGCCAGGTTCAGGACTCAAACTGCGGTTAGCCACGTGGGAGTCCAGTGCCTTAACCACCATGCCACCTGCTGGCCCTACATTTCATTTCAATGTTAACCTTGCATTTCTGGATTAATTCTCACTGAGTTAGGGTGTATTATTATTTTTATGTATTGCCAGATTTGATTTGATTTTCTTTTCTATAAGGTCCCAGTTAGGTTCTGATAAGGCTATTACATCCATGTGTTAGGGACCAGCAGATGGCGTAATGGTTTCATCATGGACTCCCACATAGTTGACCGTGGTTCGAGTCCCAGACCTAGTGGTTTTGAACTCAAGTGGGATGCGTGTATGTGTGTGCCCAAAATCCCAAGAGGAGAGTGGAAGAGAAGGAACTGCGGCGTGGCCATCCACACTGCTTTGTCACTTTGTCTCTCTGGTGAGTGCATGTGCCCTACAACAAAAATCTCTCTCTCAAAAAAATATATACGTGTGTATGTTGAAGCATTCTGCCTTTTTCTGTTCTTTGGAAGTGCAGTGTAAGATTAATGTTATTTATTTTTTATGTATTTGGAAGAATTTACCAGTGAAGCCATCTGGACCTAAAGTTTTCTTTGTGGGAGGACTTTAAATTACAAATGTAAATTCTCTTATAAAAATACAACTATTCAGATGTTCCATTTTATTTTTGGCAAATTGTAGTTTTCAAGGAATTTTTTCATTTTATCTAAAATTTGAAGTTATTTCCATAAAGATCATAATATCTCCTTATCGTCCTTTAAAATATAATTACTTTATTTTAATTATTCATTCATTTATTATAATTTGATGAGAGAGAGAGAGAGAAGGCAAAAAAGTAAGTTGCCAGGTCCAGGACTTGAGCCAGGGTCGGCCTTGTGGGAGTGTCTAGTGCCTTAACCACCATGCCACCTGGTGGTTCCTTATTGTCTTTTTTAAAAAGAATTATTTCATTTAACTTTATTTATTTATTTTAATTTGACCAGAGAGGGACAGAGTGTGTGTGTGTGTGAGAGAGAGGAAAAGTGAGAAAGCAAGCTGCCAGGTCCGGGACTTGAACCGTG